ACATATTTCAATGAAACCTCGCTAAAATCATTTTCTCGACGCCCTTTGAATTTATCTATATAACATACTTCAAAGAAGCTGGAAAAAAAGTTACGAGGGGTGGTAAAATTAAATTCCGAATAAGTCGAAAAGTTCTTACTTTTTTGTTGATATTGATAGTTGATAGTTTTTTAAAAGTTTACGAAATTTCCAAAAAAAACAAAAAATAATCATTAAAATCGGACAATTAGGAGCAAATATATGGTCTTCGGTTTTTTTTTTATATGTTCTACTACAAATGTTATATCCTTGGTTTGGTTTTTAAAGTTTGAATGTGTTACTGAACTAATGCTATTTTTTTTTTTTTTTTAGCATATTATTAATGATTAAAGAAAAACAGTTCAGTCCAATAATTGGAATCACCTTTTGTTTTTTTTTTCTTTGTAACTCGGAAGGTAATGTTATTTTAAGTATAATTGTTTGGAAATAATAAACCATTGTGAAATAATTTGCAGCGTTTTTTTAATACAATGGTGTGGTTTTGAATAACTCATGAATTTACCAAGATTTCGTCTAATCATACTTAGTAAACCGTCCATCAATGTCTTGTATAAATCACTTCACACTTTTTTCGCAATAATATAAAAAAAACACCAATATTTGTTGACATAATTGAAAGTAAAATGTAAACCACCTACGCTCGTAGACTGTGAGTGTACTTTCACAAACCTTTACGCAATCTCAGAACCGCTAACAAAAAAAAACTGTAGGATTTCGACAGAACGACCTGTCATGAACGGTAGAGGCAGGAACCAGTCCGGACGTAGCTATATAAGGATCCACAACCGGTAACTTATGTGAACCAAGTGGTTCCTTTGGTATTTTGGAACTTGTTTAAGTAACATGTCCAGTTCAGTGGGTCAGTGGGAGCTGGGCGTATGGTTACTTTTTATTTGTTGTCGGTTCCCCTCAACGAGACCCTTACTACAAAACCTATTGTAACTAGAGTGGGAATGTCGAGATTCATGTTCTATGGGGCCATCAAGAACTAAATTCTGATAGAAGTCGCTAGACTTTATATGAACGCTGAAACACATTTTTCCAGCTTCTTTTCGTTGAAATATGTTATATAGAATAAATTTAAGAATGACTTAAACGAAGTTTCATTGAAATAGGTTTATTTGTTTAGGCGCTACAATCTATAGCAACGTAGGTTTTTTGGCCGCCATTTTGAAAGTAAAAGGCGGATAGAAATGTCGATGAAGGAGGATCATCCTCGGGTGACATCTAATTTTAAATCCAAATATGAAAAAAATCGGTGCAGTAGTTTCGGAGAAAATGCGCGGACGGACAAAAAAAATTCTAAGCATAGATGGAGCTAGATAGGATACCCACTAACACGCTTAGTCATCACAGCCTCAGAACATATGATTACTACCAGAAATGGGAATTTTTATAATCATCTTTTATCACTAGCGGATTCAAAAAGAAGGTTAGGTTTCATCTCAAAATCCTACCGAAAGTAGAAAAATAATTCTTTTATTCATATTTATTTTTATGAATAATTTAAGGAAAGTACTGAAACAATCACTGTATGCTTTCTTTTATGACGCACGAACGTTAGGTGTGAGCAGTATATAATATTAAAAATATTATATCCCTGAAAGTATTATGGTTCCTTTAATTACCAAAAAATATTTTTGAAAATAGCCTCCCACAAAATTAAATTCTAAATCCACTTCTGTCTGCTCCTATCTAGCTCTATCTATGCTTAGAATTTTTTTTGTCCGTCCATGCATTATCTCCGAAAATACTCTACCGATTTTTTTCATATTTTGATTTAAAATTAGATGTCATCTGAGGATGATCCTCCTTCATCGACATTTCCATCCGCCATTTACTTTCAAAATGGCGGCCGAAAAACCTGCGTTGCTATAGACTGTAGCGCCTAATGAACCTATTTCAATGAAACTTCGTTTAAGTAATTTTGTAGACTCCCTTTAAATTTATCTGTATATTTCAATATATTTCAATGAAAAGAAGCTGGAAAAAAATGTTACGAGTGATAGTAAAATTAGATTCCAAATAATGTGATAAGATGTTTCAAAGGTATTTAAATTTCCAAAAAAATGAAGAAAGTTTCATAGAAATCAAAGCTCTATGAATAAAGATATCGTGATTTTTAAATATTTTGGTTTATTATTATCAATAATAAACCATTGTAATCGAACTAAAAATTAAAAAAAATTGACCCCCTCAAAATTTGAGGTTTTATGTAACAGGATACGTAGAATTCGAAAAATGAATAAAACAATTTCTGTCCGTCAGCCGTACGCCGACGGACTGGACGATTTTTTCAAATTGGTTTTAAAATTTGAAAAACCTGCGGAATTTCCTAGCAAACAAAAAAAAAACGTTAAAATCGGAAAAATTGGGAGCAAAGATATGGCCTAGAGTTTTTTCAATATGTTCTATTGCAAAGGTTATATCCTTTTATTTGGTTTTTGATTTTTGAATGTGTTACTGAACTAATGCTAATTTTTTAGCAAATTACTAATAATTAAGAAAAAAAGTGTTTAGTCCAATAATTGGAATCATCTTTTATTTCTTTTTCTTTGTCACTAGGAAGGTAATATTACTTTAGATGTATAATTTTTTGGAAATAATAAATCATTGTGAAATAATTTGTAGCGTTTTTTCCATGGTGCCCTTTTTTTTTTTTTTTCCTTTCTCAAAACTATGACTACCGTTGATTGGTGGTGCCCTATACTCGTTAATATTTCCCATGAAGATTCCTTTACTTCATGTAACGTCACAATTTTAATATTTTTTGACAAGGAGAGTTTTTAACAAAGTTCATAATTTACTAGTTTTTATCCTGACGTTAGTTAAAACTGAACTGAGAAACATTGTTATAGTTTTCTTCTAACCTTAATAAGTGAAGATAAACGAAAACATTCAATGGAACCAACGTTATCAACAAAAGAATCAAAAGATATTTCTACAACCGCTATAGATCAGTGTTTAAGGTGTTATTTTACTTTACTTATATTTAAGTATATTTTATTTTTATTTGATCATTTCCTATTTGCAATTTGTTTAATTTTATTTTTATATATTTTCTGTAAATATGGTGTGAATAAAGTCTTTTAATTCAATAAAAGAGTTGCAACCTTTTTACGCCTTTCTTCTTTTCGCTTCCATTCGTGGGTAGAGACCCGGTCGTTTCGCAGAGTGCAGACTTAGGTCCTAACCCTCTTTGCATTATAACGAAGACACGAACTTGCGAAAGAATTCCAAGCCATTAGAGATTCAAAACGCTTTCTCGGCTAATGGACACTTGTTGCAGAGGAAAGATTCGTCCTGCAGGACACAGCAGCAGAAGACCGATCCTGTCATTATCCTTGGTTAATTTTTATAATTTATTTATTATTGCAAATCTGATACTGTTTGACAGTTAGAATTTTAGAAAGTTATCTGACGCAAACTCATCGTTCCCTGAGGATGAAATAACTGGTTAAATAAAGATGTTACTCAGAAGACACACCTTAAAGGAATGGAGGTGTGTGAAGGCTTGGTGAAGATTCATTAAATATTCCTTTCCCACTTTTCTCAATCATATACAGTTAATGTTTATATTATATTTATTAATGGCATAGCTGTTTAAGTTTGTTTTTTATCACGATGTTTCCAAGTGTTTACACCTACTTATTATTTACAAGAAAATATAATTTATCTTTTTTATTTTATTATTTGCTTTTTTCTTTTCTAAAATTTGTGATTTTGTAGACTCCCTTCAGAGATAATTACCATGAGGTATGCTATATATATATATATATAATTTATTTAGCTAAACATTGTTCAATTTCGACGATTTTCTTTCGTCTTGTAGGGAGTTTTAACACATTTAATTTTTATTTATTTTTTATTACTCATTTGGGGAGAGGAGTACTAATTGCGGATTCAGAGACTGATTTAACTAAAATAGAATTGTTTATCTCGGAAGTGATAAAAATCTCTTTAGACGGATTTGGAAAAGGAAAACTCATTATAACCCTTATATATATATATACCTGTACCACTAACAACCCATCAAGGGTTATGCGTTCAGTACAATGTGAGGAAGTACTGTTACAAGGCCAACAACGCTAGTGCAGAGAGGTGACGGGCCAATATCACGCTCAACCGCCAGGTTTTCCCCCTTAATTAATTATTTAATTAAGATTAACCAATTTATAGAGGCTGGGTTTGGCCCAGGAGAGCCTCCCTACCCCAAATGACAAATTACTGGTCATCAGCCGGATTCGAACCTTGGATCTCCAGCTTTGGAAGTCCGTGAGCTATCCACTGAGCTACCCCGCTCCCCAAAAATATAATAAAAACTTATAAAATTATATTTTCTATCTAATACATTATAGGAATTCAAATAAACTTTCAGGCTTTCAAAAACATCTCTATTTATTAATATTTCAACACTTCGAACAAGATCGTCCATTTTTAAGAAAAAACTTTTTATCAACTCGCATAGTTCTTATAGGAGAAATAAATATTTTTATTCAAACAAAAAAAGTTCTTTTTCTTGAAAATAGAGGATCGTGTCCGAAATGTTGAAAAATGAATAGATACAGATATTTTTTGAAAACCTGGATGTTTATTTAAATTTCTGAAACTTAATAAAATAGAAAATATATGAAGATATTAATATATATTTATATTTAATAAGATATATTTCTGTAATCAAAAAATTTAAAAAAAAAATAGATTTCAAACTTATTACCAAGCATTTGCACATATCATTGTACAATTTATTTTTCAACAAAACACAGGATGAAGATAGTAACATTTTTATTTATTTTTTTTGTTTCTTATGGCTAAGTATGATTGGCTTAAGTCAAAAATCAAAATGTAATTCGAAAAAGATAATCATGAGATATTAAACAATTTTTTTTAAATAACATTTTAACCCTTATATATTTATCTTTATTACTAACAAAATATATATGTATATTTTTATTACTTACAATTTCATTTTTAAATATCCTCCGTATCCAGTAGAGGATTATCACCTGAAACAAAAGATACAATTTTAATAATAGCCTTAATTATAGGTTTAATAAATAATAATATTCTTAATTGAGAGGATATTAATAAATAGTTTATACATTATGTGCCAATGCTTTAATTAACCCATAACAATCAACTAATTTAATATAAAAAGGTTACTGACGAAATTTATACTTTTTTTTTAGCTATATCATATTGGATGAATTGAAAAGAAATATACCCGGTTTTTGTCAGAGATTAATATTTGTTACTGAGGGCGATATAAGCTAAATACATAAACAATAACAATAAGTTATATATTTTTAAATTACAATGCATATATAGCTTCTAAATAGAACCATGTCTTTTGAAAAAAAAAATGGGTGATAAATATTCAGGACTATTGAAAACCCTTCAGCGCTCAAACCAAGCCCTGATGATAATCCACATGTTTGGGTTGAAACGTCGGCACAAAAAAAAATGTTTAGAATGACTGCGTCCTGAATATTTATCACCCATGGTATGCAGAACAGTCGACTGACTAGCTTCCTTTAAAAATTAAAAAAAGTATTCTTTTTCTTGAAATTATTAAGTAATAGGACGTCAAGAATCACATAAACACCATTTTATAAAGGTAGTTAGTTTCTTTCGTTTTCTTCCCAAGTAATTATCGTTATTTGAGTGCTATTAGTGGATAGTTTCTCAACAAGCGATTTCATGTTATTATATATGTTCTTCATTGATATTTACAGTTGTAAATATATCATTTTATATATATATATATATATATATATATATATATATATATATATATATATATATATAAGCTTCGGGCAGAAGCCATCACCTCTCCATAAAAACTAAGGTGTGAGCTTCAGACCACACGATTTAAGTGAAACGTCAACAAGGTGAGATTAGTATTATGGATTTTTTTTTTTTTTTTTTTATTAAAGAAATTTACAACTGTAATTAATAATAAATACAACAAGTAAATATGAACAAGTAATATGACATGTACAACATGAGGAGAAACTACCCATTGGTAGCACTCCAATTATATTTCTATATTAGAAGATCTCGAGGCCATCTTCTTTTCAGACGCCTCGGAGGATTATCAGGAATAGAAGAGGAAGCAAGGTTGGAAACAAAAGGGTTCGGATGGTTCAGAAGTTTATTATGGAAGGATAGGTATCTGGATTGGGCCAGATCAGAAACATAAGGAACATTAAGGTCTTTATGGATAATTTTATTAGTGACAAAGTAAGGAGCATTGAGGATTTTACGAAGGATTTTGGATTGTAAGGATTGGATGCGAGAGGAATTAAATGGTTTAGTGGAGCTCCATAGATCAACTCCGTAAGTCCAAATAGTCAAGTATATGAGTCTTTTGTAATTAATGTGAAGTTTAGAGCGTTTGTCTAGTAAGTGCTGAAGTAATCGGAAACTTCGAGCGGTTTCTTGTCGTTTCAGTCTAGTATGAGGATTCCAAGTTAGTCGCTTGTCCAGGTGGAGTCCTAGGTATCTAATTCGCTCAACAGGGATAAGTGGAGTATTGTTAAAGGAAACTGTAGGGCAGGCAGTCGTTGGTTTACGACGAAGGCTAAAGGTAATAAAAAAAATAAATAAGTAAATAAAAAAAACCACTAAACTTCGATTTCCTACTTTTCTGTTGAGAATTGGCACATTGCTTATACGAACTATAAAAATTTCCTAACCTAAAAACTATAAAAGATTTTATTTGTGACAAAGTAGGGAGCATTAAGGATTTTACGAAGGATTTTGGATTGTAGGGATTGGATACGAGAGGAATTTGATGGTTTAGTAGAGCCCCAAAGCTCGATCACGTAAGTCCAAATAGGCCTTATTATAGTAATATATATGAGTCTTTTGTAAATAGTTGGCAGTTTAGAGCGTTTGTCTAGTAAGTGCTGGAGTAGTCGGAAACGTCGGGTGGTTTCTAATCATTTCAGTCTGGTATGGGGGTTCCAAGTGAGTCGTTTGTCAAGGTGGAGTCCTAGGTATCGGATTTGGTCAACAGGGATAAGTGGGGTATTGTTAAAGGATACTGTAGGACAGGAAGTCATAGGTTTACGACATTATGAAATATAAACTATAAATAATAGCTCATAACAAAGAAGGAATGCTGAACATTTTCCTCGCTTGATGTATACAGATTCCATTTTTATTATCTGAAATATTTTAATCCATATGTTCAACTAACCTTTCCAGTAGGTTTTAAACACTATTTTTTCCTTTTCGCCTCTCAAACACGGCGTCGCGTTAAGATACAATTTTGAATAAGAGCCCATTACAGAGAGGATGAAATGCTGAACAATATCCTCGCTTACAGTTTGCAGACCCGATTTATAGCTTCTCAGATGTTTTAATCCATATGTAAAAATATTTTAATTAGTCGACTCCAGCCGACTTTACCCGAGCTTTAATGCCGAAGTAAATCTGACGGATCACAAAAAAGTCTAAATGGGCCTAAAAAAGTTTTCGCTCACATAAAAAAAAAATAGAAATCGAAAGTAAAATAATTAATTATTACAGCTTAATTCTATTCAGAATTAACATTAACACAAACAGCCCATATATTTAAATTCTTGAAAAATATAGATATAAATTTAGAACACCTAAATACCATATAATTGTTGTCATAGTGTTAAAAAAAATTACAACTAAAGCCGAGTTTAAATGTGTATACAAAAACCTTATTAAGTGGAACTTTAAGATATAAATCTTTGCCCTGGAGGTAAAATACGCCATGTTAATTTTTTCATTAAATAATTTACTAATTAAGAAACTGAGCCACTCTTTAACACTATTACCATTGTCCTTGAATGTGACAGATTGTAATATATCTCAATAAAGAAATTTATATAATATTAAACTTATCAATTGCTATTTATATCAGGTATTTTATGTTAAACAATGATTATTTCGTGCTAAATAATTATTACATGCAAATATTGTAAAAATATTCGCTGTACATACAAATATATTATGGGTGAGAAATATTCAAGACGCAGTCTTTTTTAATTTTTTTTTATTTTTGCCAACGTTTCAACCTAAACATGTGGGTCATCTTCAGGGCGTGGTTTGAGCACTGAGGGTGTTCAAGTGCACAAACAACGCCCTGAAGATGGCCCACATGTTTGGGTTGAAACGTTGGCAAAAATAGAAAAAAAATTAAAAAAGACTGCGTCCTGAATATTTATCACCCATGACATGTAGAACAGTTGTCTAACTTCCTTCAAGGATACAAATATATTGTTAAAATCCATGTGTTGTATTTTGTATTGTAAACACTACATTGTTCAGTTATTGTATAATTTATTACCTGTTTCATGACGACCTATTATAATAAAACATAAATATATTTTTGTTAAAAAAAATGAATTAAGAAACAAATTTTAATAGCTTAAAGTTATGAAACATTGTCTCCACTAAGAAAATACAAAAATAGACTTGGTGTTGTTTACCTCCGAGGTGCAGATATATAGAGAAACATAATTTTGTAATGTTTTTGTTGAAGAATTTTTGAATACTATTAGGAAGTTGTCCGCCAAAAAAAAAAAAAAGATTTTTCGTTCTATCCTCCTCACCAGAGAAATATTACCTTTAATACAAAGATAATGTGGCCACATGCCAACACCTCGTGTTGCCGCAAGACGAGGAGGGCAACAAATAAAAATAAATAAAATAAAACGATCGAGTTTAACAGCCTTGCGACCTCTCAATCAATACAACACTCTGATAAGCTGTTAACAATCTGTCAGTTATACAACAAGTAGGACTCGAACCCAGACTTCAGAGGACGCCGGCGATTTGACAAAAACCCTAACGACCTCCCAGGACCCACTCCTTCAATTATTCTCAGTTCAGTTCTTCCGTCACGATTCTGCTCCCATCTTCTTTTCCTTTTTGTCTTCTTCTACTTTTTACAGCTTCTGTTTCACTTGCGCTACCGAACACCTGCTCCTGGATAGAAAAAACGTACGCGTAACCAATCTGTTGGGTACATCTGCGCTGGTTCATGGAGACTAGGTGTTGTGAATGTAAATAAAAGTTATTATTTTTTTAATAATAAACTAATGACTTAATGAAAAAATGTACATGGTATTCTTCGTCTCTAGCGCACAGATTTTTTTTTTTTTATTAAATCTTTTTATTGAGAAATAATACATTTGGCCACATTTAAGGGCACTAAGTACTAAAGCTGAGTAAATAAAATAAAAATAAATAAATAAAAATATCTATATAACAAAGGTAAAAACTATAAAACCAAAGAAATGTAACTTGAAATCAAACTAAAAAAAAAACAGAAATTGGTAGCAACTTAAATAAGTCATAAGTAAAACAAATAAATATATAAAAAAGAAAAAAATTCATGCTTTAATATATAAAAAAGAAAAACATTCATACTTAAAAGAAAAACATTTATACTTAATGTGCACAGATTTAAAGTTCTACTTCAAAATAAGGTTTTTGTACAAAAATTTAAATGTTATTCGGCTTTAATTTTACATATTTTTTTTATCATATATTTCTCTTTAATAATTATCAATATGGTGTTTGGGTGTTCTAAATTTATATCTAGATTTTTCCATTATTTAAATATATGGGCTGCTTACGTCAATGTTAATTCTGAATAGAATTAATCTATTATAATTGATTATTTTACTTCCGATTTTTTTTTTTTTTTTTTGTGTATGTGAAAACTTCTTTAGGCGTGTTTTGCACTTGTTTTGGTGAAGAGTGAGTTAGATTAACCCTGTCAGATTTCGTTCGGCATTAACGATCGGGTAAAGTCGGCTAGAGTCGAATAATGAAAATATTTTATACTGTAAGCGAGTTAATTTTTCAGCATTTCATCCTTTCTGTAATAGGCTATTATTCAAAATTTTATCTTAACACGAAGGAAAAAATAGTGTTGAAAACCAATTGATAAGGTTAGTTGATCCTATGGATTTAACTATTTCAGATACAAAAAATCGCTGTATATATTGCAAGCTATATA